GCGCAGTACAGCCCCCAACTCAGATTTGAAAAACAATCAGTGGATGGTTGTTTTCTGACTGGTCGGCACACCACCGACTGGTCGGCCGTACTGGTCGGCTGCAATACGGTCGGCGGTCGGCAGGTATGCAACCCTGTAAGAAAGCAAAAACATTCATGCAATCAGCTAGAATGAGCAAGCTGCTCCTGACGGACCTAGCTCAGTGGGTACACCCATGAACTGTTGAAAACACACCCAAGATCGAGTCCGGATGAATGACATAAAGTACCTCTGAATTACCTGGGGCCAGTCAGTTCGATGATGACATCTCAAGGCTGTCGCCCTTTTTTTTCCCAAAAAAAGAAGAATGATCAAGCCCCTCCTGATGATGAGGGAGTAGGCGGAAGGTTGAAGGGCAAAGGGAGGAGGGAGGAGGGGGGAGCACACCGATGACGAAGGAGGAAGGGGACGATGACAAAGGAGGGAGGAGAATGACGACGAAAGAGAGTGCTATGATAAGCAGGGGAGTAGGAGAACGATGACGAAGGAGGGAGGAAGGGGGAGGAGGAGAAGAACAATGACATTGGAGAAATGGGGAGGATGCGCCGCATGCCGTGTGCGCGCCTTGTGCACCCTGTGCGGTGCGGCGCATGTGCGGTTTGCAGCGCATGTCGATGCGCGGCATCTATGGCGTAGACCCATGAATTGTTCAAACAGTGACAAAAACAGACCCGAGTTCTGATGGACATACATGACTTACCTAGGGCAGCAAGTTCGACAGTGCTATCTCAAGGCCATCGCCCTTTTCGAAAAGGCAAAAGGGAAAGAAAAAAGAAAACAAAAAAAGAAGGGCGACATTGGTTGGAGCAAGAAAGGTGAGAAAAAGTAGACCAAACGTATGTATTCCATTCTCCATTCGGCAGATGTGCTGTATTCATGCATCTTTCTGCACTTCGCGCCTCGTCCTTAAACCACCAGTACTTGGCCCAGCTATCGTTGCCGAGCCTGGAATCCCCCTGCGCGCCAATTTTTGCCGAAGCGCCAGGGTACCGTTTCAATTTTTTTTGGCTGGCGCTTCCAGCCATTGAGGTCCGGTACCCTGAAGCCCGAACTTTGCGTAGCGTTAACGGCAACGGCAACGGCCAGCGGCCGATGTATGGGCCGAGTACTGGTGGTTTAATGCGCGAAGTGCGAGTGCCCTTCTATCCATCTCCAGGGACCCAAAGACTCAAAAAATCAAAATAACGAAAGTCTCGAGTCGTTTCAATAGGCCCATAAATCACACGCTTCTCTGATTCAACGTATCATACTTCCACATACTTTCCAAGTTTCCATTAAAGGAAAGTCGTAATGGACGACCCTCGAAACCACAATGTCTTAATATAGGCCTTATCATGGTGAGCTGACTGGGCCCTGGTAATTCAGAATTATTGCATTTCATTAAACCACCAGTACATGGCCCCAGCCAAGTACTTACCTGGCCGGGGCGTATCCGTGATCATGAAGGCGGACGGCCTAGGTTGCAGGGTCTCCCATTGCACTTTCGGTCTCGCCTGGCCTAAGTCATACCCATAGCGGTATTACTACGGTACTATTTGTGGTAGCGGGGACAGTTCGCGCGGCGCCCCCCCCCAAAAAAAAAAAAAAAAAAAAAAAAAAACTGATTGAGATTCCCAAAAAAAACAAAAAAAAAAAACAAAAAAATATGACTGAGCCTCTCGTACAATCTTGCAGGCTTGCGCACCGTTGATAAAATGAATCGGCCGCGGGCGGCCTCTGAAGGTTCCCGCGGCCAATGGCTGCCATGTACTGGTCCTTTAACGAGAGGGGCCAGCGCGGCTCTGCCTGAGCCAGGAAATGGAGACTGGAAAGCGCGGCACAAGTAGTCGATGCAGAGAGCCATGAGGAAGGTGGTGTGGAGCAGTGCAGGTTGAGGATAAATAGGGTTTGTAATGTAGGCATTTATAAAGATGGGTAGAGGAAAAGAGCAGTATGAGAGAGGGGGAGAAGGGTGGTGGTTAAGGGAACTGGAATATGGAATGGGTTGTTGAGATGCCTTCTCGTGGATAACAGCAACAGATGGGAAGAGCACCATAAAATCGAAGTTGAAAAACGACATTGGAAATGTAGTATCAGGTGGAGTACAAGGGGCAAACACAAGTGGTTAACGGGGGCCCCCACTTTCAGCTCCTGACTAACGGGTCGAAAACTGAAATTAGGGTTTGCCTAGGCTACCAACCGGGCCGCCCCAGGTCACCCTGTTTTCCCGGGCGGCCCGGCCGTGCAAGGAAAAGGGAAGGTCCC